TTAGTTCCTTCTGCTTCATCGTCTGTAGCATCGAGAGCTCCGTCCCTGCCTGAACCAGAAGCGGGAAGCGACAAAAAGAGCAGCGAGTGTCCGGAAGCAGCCAGCACACAGGGAGCTCTGCAGGGCGTGAGAAGGACCCCTGGGAAAATCCCCAAATGGCTGAAGCTGCCAGGTATCATGAAATCAGAGGAGAGCTCTGCTCATTCTAAACTGCCCCAAAAGGCAGGCTCCTCTCTGCCAAACGTGTTGGATGTTGCCAGTATTGTTGCAGATGTCAGCTTGTGCATGCAGGAACTTGGTTCACTGCTTGTTGATCACGCATCGGTTTGTGACTTGAACCTGAGCCTTCACTGGAGAAGGATCTGAGTGCAGGCTCTGAACACTGGGGAGTCTGATGCCTAATCCATATGCTTGCAGCATTCTTAACTATGTTTTTGGTTTGATGCACTGAGCTCTTAACTCTGCCAGTGTTGTTCAAATATTAATAGGCAGGACATTCTACATACCAAAGGCCAATGTCATCTGTTAAATCTCTGGTATTATTTTCCCTTTTGCTTCTGTAGTCTGTTTTAGTACTTTTCTTTCTCTTGAATTTTTTTTAGCTGGTCTTCCTGTTTTAAATCTTCACTGCAAACCGGTAGTGGTTTTCCATAATGAAGATTGCAACCAAGTTTCCATTACTAATTTTTTCTTGGTTTATCCTCATCAGAAAACTGCAATCTTGTTTTTAGTTCCCAAACAAATAGCTTATGTGTGTGGTTTTTATGTGAATTTATACAAAATATGAGATAATTAGAAGAAGGATTCCTGAAATAAACAGTTGGCAATATTCACTTTTTGATGCAGTGGCAAAGACAAGAGGGAGAGAGAAGAGAGGAAATCAAAAAAAGGAAAAAAAAAAAAGAGACATTAAATCAGCCCCCTTAACAGCAACAAAACTAGTAATGCTTATATGGAAATCCCTGGCTACTAATGCCAAATATTAACTTTTAGTATTTGTTTCTGGAAGATACTGTGGGGCCCTCAGCTCCAACAAGCAGACCATAAGGTCTGAAGGCTCCCAACAGTGCGTTGCTGTATTTCCCTGCTGTGGCCGGTCTGGTATAGATTGGTGCTGAGATACTGATGCACTGGGAAACAGGATCTTCACTGTTGCCTGCTTCCAGTTTGTTTGAAGCATTGCACTTTAGAGTTTTCTTTCCCAAGTAAAGATTATCTGGACAAAGTACAAAATATCATCTCACCTGCCCATGCAGGTTTCCCATTTAACAGCTAGTATGAAAGGTTAATAATATGCTCTAACATACATATTAATAACATGAAGGATGAAGTTCCCTGCTCCAAAAGTTATGATGTGTTTACCATTCCATCTCCCTAAGTGCTCCCATGTGGTCCCCAAGACTGCCTGAGCACAGCAGTGTCCAGAACCCTCAGCCACAAGATCATATTATTGAGAAATGAGACAGTGCAAATTACATGTTAGGTGTTTTAATGCTCCTGTGGGGTTTTTTTTGTAGGTGGAAAGAGATGAAGCATCCTGGGCTACTGGATCAGTGAGCAATCAGCTGTCCCCCTGTCTTGATGAACTTACTCAGAATGCGTAAGAAATTGTTAGTGGCTCTGGAGAGCTAGTCTGTATGAACATTAGTTATAAAGAGAATTGCTATTTCAGATGCCAGTTGCACCTGGTGGAGGAGTGGAAGGCCTGTTTATGGTCTTTGTGACTACAGAAGCAAGGTTAGAAGTTAAATTTAAGGTTTCTTGCATGCAAATAATAAGCATAGAGAAATAAGTGGGATATAATTTCTATATACTTTCTGTGAAGGACTTTGTTTCTGTCCATATTTTTAAATTCAATCTTCCCAGTTCTACCTTCAGAGATCACTTGAGTCTATCTGCCTGGATTCTAGCATCAAGATACAATCTGGTTCAGCTTTAACTATAGTCGTTAAGTGATGCCTAAAACAAGACTTCTCTCTGCTTCTTGCTGGGTGGGGTTAGTGCTGCTGATAATTTTGGATATAGATACCTGGAAAGTGAATGAAGAGGAAGCACTTAGGTCACTTAAACCAGTTCAGTTGGCCTTTCCTGTGAACCTCTTGGGCTGCTGCCCTTGTATTGTGTTCAGTTGCCAGAATCTTACTAACAAAGAACACAGGTATCTGTTCATGGAATGCCTCTTGAGATTATTTCTGCCCTAAGCTCTAGTTCTATTTTCACTGTGTATGATTAACACCAGTAATTACAGCAAGGAAAAAGCCATCCAGTTAAAGGGTCTCTTTGGTTGGTGGTTGGAGTGTTCCTGGAGCACGGTGGCCATGCCCTGCACCACCGCTCGTGTTGGGGGAAAGCCCCAGTCCGGGTCATTGCCTTCTGCAGATGTCATGTGGGGATGAATGTTGTTGGTTAGAATTGCCATTACACTGGAGATGAACTCTGTAGTGCCACAGCAGCCATGGAGCTGGATTCTATTTGAAGTCTTCTCCGTGGGTCAGTGATCCATGGAGAGCTGGGGTTCCATGGTATAGTAATACCATGTTTTCCATTTTCCTTGTTTCTTCCCTGCACTACATGCACATCTGCACAATTTGTATATGTAATAAAGCAGAGTGGCCGTGGGAGCCCTTTTGGTCGGTCCCTTTGATAATGTTTCTTGCCCCGGCACTTGGTCTCTCTGTCAGTTCACAGGAACCTGCTCCCTTTTCAATGGGCCTGTCATGCTTCATTCTCTTCCTCCCATTTTTTTTTTTAACAAAGCAAAACAGAGCTTTGTACCATCTGAATGAACTTCAAAGTGGCTAGAAAGGGCACCCAGGGTTCCTGGCACTTGTCATTGTCTCCCAGCCTGGCCAACATTTCCCTTCAGGTCTAATTATTTCCAAATGGTCCTAGATGCTTTGAAGAAACTTGGAGGGAGGGGGAGGCATGAAAGAAAGGTGTAAGAGGAAAAAGAAGACTCAAAGCAGAGGGAGCAGAATGCTTTACCAAAAAAGTAGATTGATTTCTTATATGACACCCAAACATAAACAGGGAATGTGTGCGGCCACTGGCAGTGGGGAATGTGAGAGCACTGTGTACAGCTGCCGCTCTAAATCCTCCCTGTGGAAAGCAAGCTCTTCTGGTGCTTGACAGGCTATAAAAGGCATACCACAGCAAACCAAAAAACCATTAAAATGATGTTTAAAGTTTATTGCTTTAGTGGATTAAGTGTGGACTGAGCCTACCTTCCATAGGACTGTCTGTATCTTGGTTCAGGTGCTGTGTCAGGCTTACTCATGTCATACAAGTCAGAGGCAGACTGTAGCTAGAGCTGCTTTGCTGAATTTATGCAGGATATATTGGGGGGGAAACCAGAAGCCATTGCTAATGATAGGTGGGGAAATACTTGTGCTGGTGTTTTTGATTCCCAGGGTTAGAATAAGCAGTGTGGTTTGAAGGAAGTTGTTGCAGTGTGCCTTCAGATGTGCTTGTCCTTATTTTTTGAAGAGCACAGGAGACACCAAATAGTGCCAATTTGCTTAGCTGTTCTGATTCTGCCAGTTTCATAAAGAGCAAGCACTGTAACTGTCACCTGCAAGTACCTGAGGTGGGAAAACAGAAGTAGTTTAGGGATACAAGCAGCAATATCAGTATTCCTGGGGCAGTTTCATGGGTTAAGTGCAGGGATGAGGACTAGACTTCATATTGCAGTTCTGCCTGTGCTTGACCCTTGTGTGACTCAGCCACGCATCGAACCCAATACAAGCACAAGAATGAAAAATCAGTACCTTTAACAGCTAGATCAGAGGTCTTATTCCTCTTCCCTATGCAAAGAAGAGTTAGTTTTAGCTGTTGCTGCTATTAAAATGCTGCTTTACTACTAATGTCCACATCAGCAATTCTCTTGAGTCAATGCTTGTGTGTGTCAGTGAAGGGAACTCGAGCCTTTTTATGGCAGCAGCTTTGGGACCTGTGTCAGTAGGAGTCAGAGAGGAGGGAGAGATGAGGATCTGAAATCTGGAAAAGGCAAGAAAGTAGGACTGAATTCTTTAAGGGGGACAAGATGCCCTGACATTTAAAACTGCAGGCTGTTCACTAAGCTGCTTGCTACAAGGATTTCGGCCCTGCTGCAGAACAATACCTGCAGGTACCTGATGAGCTAGTTTTGTTTCAGTATCACTTCTGCTGTAATAGCTGAACTCATCCCTGGGGTTTTGGGGCATTCAAAGGTAGCATTAGTTGCATTTTTTTGCTATTGCCTTTTTTTTACCAATGGTTGTGGGGCTGAAGGCTGAAGTAGATCAGTTCCTTCACAGGGTGCGTTGCACAGCTGCACAAACAGTTGTCTTGGCTGAGTGGCAGAGGGCTGCTGGGGACTGCTTAAGCTGGTACTGTCATCAGAATGTGTATTAAACTGCGGTTTTCATGAGGTTTCCAAGTGGCTGGTGTCCTGAGGAATGACCCTGATAGCTCCTGGCTGAAAAGAGTACAAGGACCTACTGAGCCTCAGCCTGCCACAGCTGTCCCTGGGAACAGGCCTGCTTGCTGCTGATCCCACAGCAGGAGTGCAGGCCCCGAGCCATGGCCCGTCAGTGGTGCTCCTGCAGGGGCCACGCACTTCCCAACAAAGCCACTTGGGTTGTGTGGGTCCTGCCCACATGTGTGAGGTTTCTTATTTCATAGCGCCCCCCTGCTCCCCACCCCTCTTCCCTTCCCCCCACTGCCAGAGGGGCCAGGCTGTCCCGTGATGTGGGATTCTCACACATGCTGTTTGTTATTTTGTCCTTTTTTCCTTTCCTCCTACAAAGATTTAGGGAAGAGGGTGGGTGAGGGGGAAACTCTTCAAGTCTTTGAAGCAACTTGACTTTTGATGATTAATTACAGCAAAGGGAGGGAGACGGGTTTTTAACTTACTGATGTTTGTGAGAACAAATTTATAGCAGAGGGGAAGCAGCTTCTGAGGAGAATATCAAATGGTTAAAAGGTTCCAAGTATTCTTTGATGTCACAGCTCTAGAGAAATACTGGAAGGTAGTGAGGGACAGACACTGTTTATTTATAAAATAAAGATCAGTTACCTGCTCTTGGCAAGAGCCTGTGACTGAGCTCCTGTTAACGACCTATTCATTAGACAGGCTTGGAGCTACTAGAGTTGCTGTCACAGCTGCCTGCTGAGGCAAGGAGAGCCTGAAGGCTGGATGGTATTTCCAGTCATTAAGTCTTTCCATGCATCTCTGTGAAGCAGCACCTGTTTCTCACATTAGCTGAGAAAGCAAAAGCATCTTACCATGCTGTGAAGTACAGGCCCCTGTTACAGGAGTAAAGCAGCGAGATGGAAACAGTTACATACTCAGCTGAACAAAACAAGCCTACGACAGCCTCTTCTCAAAAATAGTATCTGACAGCATCATTGCTATGGGCTGTATTGTGCTTGGTAAAGGAGAGGGGAAACAGAAGCAAAACAACAGAGGAAGAAAAAGCTGAAACTGTTTTTCCCAGAGCTGGACTCTAAGGCTGAGACAGATGTTTGCTGTCAGGTCAGGACCATCTGCTGGCAGGCAGCATGTGCTTCAGGAGGCCTCTAGAAATCCAGAAGCTGTAAGGAGAGAGCAGCAAGCCAGTCAGCACATAGGCCAGGTTCCTGAAACATCTCCCAAGGGGAAGAGCATTAAGCTGTTTCAGCTCACATCCTCATCCTGCTCCCGTGCAGTTGAGGCCCACGGTTACATACCAGCTGCGGCAGCACTTTCTCCAGATGCTCAATATCCACCTTCTCCAGGTCCTCTGTCTGAGCCTGCCGCGCTGCCCGTGCCGCCGCTTCTGCAGGACAAGGGAAAGCGGAGGGCAGTGAGAGGGGGGAGCTGCCAGGGAGGGGGGGTCCCGCCCGGGGATGAGACGAAGTGCTGGATGCTCGGGGCGAAGGCTGGGGCGGGGGGGGGCCCGCCGGTCGGTAACGGGTCCACAGGGCGGCTGGGGCTGACCCCGCGCGCTCACCTCGGACGAAGACGTTCAGCATCTCGGCCATCAGCAGCTGCGCGTCCCCGTTCACTGCAACGACAAGGCGCTCACGGCAGGCGGGGGCCCAGCCAGCCGCGCCCGGGCCCTCCCGGTACCGCCCGCCGCTGCCCCGGTACCTCGTGTCCTCCCGTCCCGGAAATGCAGGCGGAGCAGCCGGTCCACGGTGTCCTGCGCGGAGAGAGGAAGGGATGAGCAGGCCCGAACCCCCCCGCCCGGGACCGAGCCCCCCTCCCGGGACCGCCGCACCTTCCTGAAGCCTCCGGCGCGGCCGTCCCGCTCCTCCATGTCCCGCGCGCCGCCGGCCCCGCCTCCCGCAGGCGCGCGGCGGGCGGGGCCGCGGCCATGGAGCGGGGCCGGGGGGAGCACGCGCGGCCGTGGAGCGGGGCCGGCGGGGCCGCGGCCATGGAGCGGTTCCGCCGGGAGTACGCGCGGCTGTGTGCGGCGGCGGGCGCGGCCCCGCAGGAGGCCGTGCTGCGGCGGCTGCGGGAGCCCGGCGGGGCGCGGGCCCGCCTGGACCTGACGGCGCAGAGCCTGTCGCTGCAGACGTGCGGCGCGCTGGGCCGGCTGCTGCCCGGGGCCGCGCCCTTCGCCGCGCTGTTGCTCGGCGACTGCGGCCTGAGCGAGGAAGGTGCGCGCGGGACTCGCTTCGGGGGTGCCCCCGCCGCCCCCTCAGGCCGGGCCGGCGGAACGGGCCCGGCTCCGCGCTCTGCCGGCGGCGAGCGGGGCCCGGCGGCGGGGCGGGAGGTCGCTCGTGTCTCGGGGCGCTGAAGGCGCCCGGTCTGTGACAGTGTGGGTGGTCAAGCGCCCCTCGGTTCCGTCCCTCTTCGAAGGCGGCTCTGCTGTCGTTGGCCGTGGACGGAAGGGACAATCCGGCTGGTTAAAGCCGCCGGCAGTGAAGGCGCTCCCGGGGCAGCACAGCCGTGGCTGTGGGGCCTCTCCAGGCGTGGGCTGAGCTCGGGGCTGGGTCACTCAGGTGCACAAGCTCCCGTGCAGCTCTGCCCAGACACCTCTTTGAGACTGTGTAAACAGTCTCCTGCCCCAAAAACTCAGGCTCACGCTTTCCAGCAGCAGTGGTCGTTTACCAAGTCATTCGTTTCTCGAAGCCACGTCTCCTGAGCTGGCTGTTTGACAGGACCATACACTCTCAGCTCGGGCAAAGGGTTCCACGATGGAATAAACAGCTCTTTTTTTTCCCACTCAGGTGTAAAACTTCTGTTGCATGGTCTTTGCTCCAACACCACAGTCAAATCTTTGGATCTGAAGGTGAGTCTGTTCAAATAGAATTAGGACAAAGTGGTGGACGAGAAAAAAGGAGCACAGGCTTAGTCAGAATTAGAACTGGACAGTTCTGGTGCAGGATTGTTCATACTTCATACTTCTGTAAGGATTTTGTTCTCAAGTGACTTGTTCCTTGTGTCGTGTCCTTAACACCATGTCACAACGTTGCAAAGTTACTTTGCACATCATCTTTATCCATTTGTATTCGGTTACTGTGTTTTGATAGGAAGTTATAGCTATATATCTTTTGTCCACTGCTGCTTAGTCAGATGAGGCATATGTAGGGGTTTCTTTGTGTCTCTGTATTGATCAGTGAGTTACTAACTGTTTCACTTGTGCTTCTGTAGAATTTATCCAGCTTGCCAATGCCTTTTGGGTGGCCTGGCCTTGGCACTGGGCATCTGCCTTCAGGTGTGATGGTCACTCTACTGAGAGTGACTTTCTGTCTGTACTCCTCTGACATACAGCTATTCTCTTGAATATACAGTCGCAAACTGTGTCACACCTTTCTTTCTCATTTGTGCTAGTGCTAACTGAGCCCTTTTTAATGAAGTATATTGAAATGGTTCTACTTATCTAGAATCATCATTTTCTGTCCCATTGTGGCCCATGATGATCCTGTGCTATCCTGTGATTTTTGCAAGCTCTTGGTCATGGTGCCTCACAAGACCAGAGGTGTGTAGATCCACTGTTCCTTCAGGGCTTTTAATTTTGTGGAAAGCTGACACGTGAAACAAATGGTGGTTGGACTACCTTCGTCCAACTGAAATCGGCACTACAGCTGGGGTGCACCTGGTGGTGTTTGATGGGGTAGGCGGACTGGGACAGATGTAGCCTACTCATCATCTGGGACTTCTGTTTCAGGGAAATAACCTACGAACTGTGGGAGCCGAGGCTTTGGGAAAACTTCTTAGGCAGAACAAATCCATCCGGAGGTAAAAAAATTGTGTCTACCTCTCTTTGTGTTATTCCTGTTAGATGGAGCACAACAGTTGAAAAGGGCTGAGGGTGTTTTTTATTGGGGTGGGAGGAACATCGAGTGGTACAATTTCTTGTGACAGGTGGGAGAGATGAAGGAGTGAGAACAGGAGGCGCCCTTTCAAAGGATGCCAGGTCGTGGCAGCATCCTGCTCTCTGAAACCAAGTCTGTTCGTGGAGCTGGGTGTTTGACTGGGTACCATGATCCACGTATCATTCAAGCTCATGCAGCTGTCCATTTACTCCACAAACTCCAATCCTGTCTGATTTTCCTAGCCTAACCTTAGAATGGAACAGCCTTGGCATGTGGGAGGAAGGCTTCTCCTTTTTCTGCCAAGGACTGGGAGCAAACAACTTTCTCCAGCGGCTGGATCTGCGCAATAACCAGATTAACCATCAAGGGGCTGGAGAGCTGGCCGTGGCACTGACACAAAATGCCAGTCTTCAGGAGCTGGGTAAGAGTTCTTTGCCCATGTACATTACGCATGCACACACGCACATATATATCTTCAGGTTCCTTGCAGGCTGCCCTGACTTCTGGCAACTGGTTGGTGTCGTTCCCAGTTCCTGTCGGTCTGGAGTGCATTGCTGTCGTTGTGCAGGGAAAGGTCGCAACCCCATGGTCTTTGGAGAATGGCAACTGTAGTTGGAATCTCTGGATCCAAACCCGCAGCTGAAGAATTGTGTAGTTGGAGCAGAACAGTCCTTAGCAGAGGAGGGAGTGTGTTCATTCCTATCTGTAGATGCTGCTGGCATGCCTCGTGACAGACTCTGAGGCTTACTTCACACTTGCTTTGTCCTTATATGGAATTTTGCTGGAATTTCCTTCAGGAGAACATGGCTTTTGTTGCGAGTTCTTTCTCATCTGCAGATTTTGGCTGTAGAAGGAAGGCTCACAAGAGGCAGACTTGTGTAGATTTTGAACTGTAGTGGCTTTCTGCACTTTAAAGAAGATACATCTACCTTTCCTGCTTTGTCTATTACTTTCTCTCCTTCTCATTCATCTTGAAAGGGGAGACAGTGTTCACCTGTGTTTATGCTAAGACCATCTGGGATTAGTTAGCCACGCTTGTAGATGTATAAAGAGCGTGGGGTTTCTTGGGCCTTGTGTTTTTCAGCAGATGTGTGACTACCATGGTGAAAGTTTGCTTTGTGTATAGATTTGCGATGGAATAATATTGGGCTTCTGGGTGGCCGAGCTTTGCTGAACTGCCTGCACAGAAACAAGTCACTGAAGAGGCTGGAGCTGGCAGGGAACAATGTTCCTTGCGACATCTTGAAAGCTGTGGGTAAGTATGATGTGTTGTGCAGTAAAGAGTCACTAACTCCTTTCCCACTTCGGCACTTGAGAGAAATAGGGCACTTACTGCTCCAGAAGAGAGCTATTCCTCCTTTCCTCCCTTTCTCAACAGCATTTCTACAGGAAGCCCTACATCGCTTCCTCTTGTCCTTTAGTGAGAGCTGGTCAAGTTGGAAGTGTCACTTTCACTAGCAAGAGCAAAAAAATAATTTGGATTGAGTCAGAGATTACTGTGCCATGGGAATGTGGGAGAACTTGAGATTAGTTTGCCTCTGAGTAGCCAAGTTTTGATGTGGCTTGTGCGGGCTGTTGTTGTCCTGCCCACAGCAGAATTGAACAGCTTTCCTATCCCTGGGATATTGATTACCCAATACACAGTGCTCTCTTATATCTCATCCCACCTGGTGGTGTAAGGTGAGAGGTCTCTACAAGGGCCACCCTGAGAAGGGAAGCTTCCCCGGTGCTTCTGATAGCCAGGTGTCATCCTGAGCGCTGTTTCTTCCAGCAGTGCTTGCTGTTCTGTCACTTTAGAAACTTGTGCATGCTCTCCTGCTCTCTGCATCAGAACAAGCCTTGGATCACAACCAAGACCGTGAGGCTATCCTGAGTAAGGCCCAGAACCAAGTGTACATCCTCAACAAGGAGGTCTTGAATCTGAAGGATGAGAAGAACAAGCAGGTCAGCAATCTTACATGTTGGCAGTTCAAATAGGGCAGTTGGAATCCTTTGCTTTCCCTTGGAGCCCCACAGAACACTCAGTGACAGTAATATTGTGCACCTGAAGTTGCACGTGCATCTTTATGGGCAGGCACACAGCATGGTTTGGGTACATTGGATCCTTCCTCTGAGCTACATTGACTGGGAATCAAGTCAAATGACAAGTATGGGTACGGACACATCCCTGCTGAACATATTCACTCTGGATTCTGCAGGAGTTGCGGTGATTTTTCTTTACCCATATTCATACTTTTCAGTTCTTTTGCAGCTACTTTGATATGTCCCAAGTGGTATAAACCTAGAGATCTGAGTGTGTTTTCTTCTGGCACCGCAGGGTGCAGAGTCCCTATAGCTGATAATCTCATTCAGATGTGCTAATAAATGCATCAGACCTCCAGTTTGCTTCCAATAGTAGCTTGAGCTGTCTTCAGCTGTTTCTGGGAAGAGAAGCACGAGAAGTGTACCTGTTTTAAGCTGATGCAGTTCATTTTCTCCCTGAATTTTGCCCTGTTCACAGTTCTTGGATTTTATGGACACCGTAGACAAGCAGAAAGAAGAAAAAGCCAAGAGTGAGAGGTGGGTTGGATTTCTAAGTGCTTTCTGCTCTTCGATGGCAGAATTGAGCCCTCTCCCATTTCCTGTGAGAAATTACCCACCTTTTTGTTTTCTTTCTTTTTTTTGTCTCCGAAATGCAGAGTGTCCGCAGCACGAGTCAGCCAACTGCAGGAAGCATTGGATGAACAGCACTCCATTATGAATTCACTGAAAGCCAAGTATGGAGGAGGAAAACCTTCTCCTTCCCATTGTCTGTGCTATAGACACAGGACCGAGCAGAGCTGCTAAGGGGGATAACCTTGTAGAGTAGCTGGTTTACTGTTTTGCTTAGTTCTGCAGTAATATCCAGAAATTGGGGTCAGATCATGCCTTTGAGTTGGCCACATTAGACACTTAGCCAGCTTTTAAGTAAAATTACAGTGCCTTGGTGTACGAGCAAGTGAATTACAGAGGGTGAAAAGGAAGAAAAATG